GCCTCAGGTCTTTTTCGGCACAGCCTTCACACGCTTCGTGGCCCCATTCAGTGACGAGCGATGGGGAGGAATGAACAGGAGAAGGCTTTCTCAGAAGGCGGCGGGGTTTCTCAGAAGCCCTCGCGCCTTCTGAGAAATTTCCTCTGTCTTTGGGGAAGGCCCAGAAAACTTCTCAGAAGGCCAGGCGACTTCTGAGCCTTCTGAGAGGGCCCGCCCCTTCTCACTTCCTCTCCCTCGCTCGCCGCCGAACCTTCCAGACAAACTTTCGTCGCGCTGCTGTATGGAGCTCCGCCGACGGCCCCAATCGTCAGGAGAGACAACAATACCACTACCCCGCTCGCTAAGGGGGTGGCCGCTCCCTCCCCTCCCTCGAGCTGCTGGCATCTCCTTCCTGGAACTCTCTGGAGGCATGCCCGCAACGAGGTGCCACCAGCTCGAGGGGGTGGGACAGCCACCCCTCTAGCTGGTGGTAGCGGTACTCGCTCGCACGGCGACCTCGGGTCTTTTTCGGCACAGCCCTCGCACGCTTCGTGGCCCCCCGTGGTGAACTGCACCGACGGCCAGAGGCCCCGCTGGCAGCGGTCGTAGGGCGGCCTCGGAGGGATTCTGGTCCCCCCCGCACGCTTCGTGGCCACTTGCCGTCGCTCGGACGCCCATTCCCCGAGGATGTTTCGATGTCGTGCGTCTCTTTTTCGCCAGACGGGTCAAAATGCTCCTCGATGGTCCCCGCCGAGAAAAAATGCACACGTCCGAGCGATGAACAACCACACGTTCCGTGGCCCCGTACGAAGATCCACCGAAGGGTCCACTGGCAGCGCTCGCGTGGTGGCCTCGGGTCAATTTCGGCACGCCCCTCTCGCGGTACTCGAGCGTGCACGTGGCAGGGCCCTCTGCCAGGAAATGCTCTCAGTCATTTCTCCCTTCTCGGTTCCTGATGGGCTTCTCCGACCTCAAGCTGCCCCCTGGCTCACGAGAGCCCCGACGTGTGCGTCGAATGGGCCCAAGGGGGCCCCCCAAACCCCCAAGAGCGTGTCAAGAGAGCACCAAGAGATCTCGAAGCCACGAGCTGTCGGCCTCCAACGCAGGGAAGTGAATTGACGCCGTGCCATTTGTGGGAAGATGGCCTCCAGAATGGCCCCAGCAGGGCCCCAAGAGACGAGAGCCACGCCAGATGCACTGCAGCAAGATGGCATAGTCTTGGTTGCTGAAACGAAGAATGTTACCATTTGAGGGTCCTTTGGGAAACCTCTTGGAGTGGCTGGAGAGCCTCTCTGGCCGTCTTGAGGCCGTCTTGGGCTCGCGTTGAAGGCTCTTGGGCCGGTATGGTCCTCTTGGCCTCCCTGAGTCCGTCCTGGAGGTATGTTCGGCCGCCTGGGGGGACTCTTGGGCCGTCTTGGGGGCCTCTTGCGCGTTCTTGGGGCCGACTTGAGCCATACTGTGCCGAACATTGCCAAAACTTGGGCCATTAGGTTTCGGTTTCTGTTTCTGAAGCGCTCTTTCCGTTTCTGTGCCCAGCCAGGTCTTTACTCACACCACCGTTCGTACTGGGAGCATTGGCGTTGAGCTTGTTATGTCACCCCTCGTTCTTGGGAGCCTTGGTGTTCAGAGATTGTTGCGTTGCCGCCCGTTCCTGAGCCTTGGCTGGGCCTTGGTGTCAGGAACTTGTTACGTCACCACTCTCTGCTGGGAGCCTTGGTCTTGTCAGCTTGTTTACGTCACCGTTCGCTCTTGGGAGCCTTGATGTGAAGAGCTGTTTGCGTTACCGATCGCTCATTATTTGGCGTCTCTGGGCCTTCTTGGGAGTCTGATTGGGGCCCTTTTAGAACCCTTTTGGAGGCCTCTTGGGAACCTCTTGGGGGCCTCTTGGGGCTTCTTAGGGGGCTCTTGGGGCCTCCTGGGAGCTTCTTGGGGCGAAAAGCTACGCTTTTCGGTTCGTGGTCCCCCTCTTGGGGCCGTCTTGGGGCCCTCTTGGGCCGTCTTGGGCGCCTCTTGGGCCGTCTTAGGGCCCTCTTGGGCCGTTTGGGGGGCCTCTTGGGAGCCTCTTGGGCCGTCTTGGGGCGGTCTTTAGGGCCTCTTGGGCCGCCGTCAACGCCGTGAAAACCGAAAAGCCGTGCAAGCTAAAAATGTACCTTTTCCCATAGGAGATCAATGACTTTGGCCTCCTGGGACCTCTTGGGGGCCTCTTGGGGCCTCCTGGGAGCTTCTTGGGGCGAACGGCTAGACTTTTCGGTTCGTGGTCCCCCTCTTGGGGCCATCTGGGGGCCCTCTTGGGCCGTCTTGGGCGCCTCTTGGGCCGTCTTGGGGCCCTCTCGGGCCGTTTTGGAGGCCTCTTGGGAGCCTCTTAGGCCGTCCTGGGGCGGTCTTGGGGGCCTCTAGGGCAGTCGTCGACGCCATGAGAGCCGAAAAGTCGCGTATGCTAAAAATGCACGTTTCCCTATAGAAAATTAATGATGTTGGCCTTTTGGGGCCCTCTTGGGACGCCTCTTGGGCGCCTCTTGGGGCGTCTCGGAAGCCTCTTGAGCCGTCTTTGGGCCGTCTTGGGCATGTTGGACCGTCTTGGAGCCGTCTTGGACCCCTCTTGGACCGCCTTGAGCGCCCAAGACGGCCCAAGAAGCGCCCAAGAGGCGTTTTCAGAGAATGTCTAGAGCGACACGCTCTTTTATAAGCCCCAAAGGCCGTCCTACTCGATAAATAACGAGGCTGAGCGGCCATTAACACCCAGTCCCTCCCCCTACCCCCCCCCTCTGCACTCCCCCTTAGGGGCTTCGCCCAAAACACAACGTCATCACTCGTACCTCGCTCTTTCCGTTGTCTGAGGCCGCCGAGGCCAACCCCCTCACACTCCCCCATGTTTTTTCTCTCGGCAAACGGATCGCGACGCTACGCGCTTTTCCGTCATCTGGGACGGGTCCTGCCAACACCCTCACACTCTCCCTTGTTACTTCTCCCAACAAACGGATCGCGAGGCTCCGCGTGCTTTCCGTCATCCGCCGCCCCTTGCTGATTTATCAAAAGGGTGCCCGGCGTGCTGAACATCATATGGTTTGGGTTATTCTAGAACTCCCCCTGAGGCTTCAACCCAACGCGCCAGCCATCAGGAAAATTCCCTGATCGCTTCCAAGACGAAGACGGCCAAGATGGCCTCCAAGACGGCCAAGATGGCCCCAGGAGAGCCCAAGATGGCCTACGATGCATCCACGACGGCCCAAGATGCACCCAAGACGGGCAGAGATGACTTCAAGATGGCCCAAGACGGCTTCAAGAGGCCTCCAAAACGGCCCGAAGAGGCCCCCCAAAGGGCATCCAGGAAAGTCCGAGGAGGCACGCATCCTTGATTGTCCTGAGATTGTTGAACGATAGTATTGGCATCTACTTCTTTTCGGCTGTCCGACGGCCCAAGACGGCCCAAGAGGCCCTATGACCGCCCAAAAGGCCTCCAATATGGCCCCATAACGACCCAAAGGGCCTCCAAGACGGCCCCAAGGGCCCCAAGACGGCCCCAGAGGCCTCCAAGACGGCCCCAGGAAGCTCCCAGGAGGCCCCAAGAGTGCCCCAAGTGGCTCCCAAACGGTCTCCTCCTTCTTCTCCTCCTGTTCCTTTTTCCCCCCTCCTCATTATGGATTCCTTCCCGCACGTGGTCCCCGAAGGGTGTCCTTAACCGCTGCGGGAACGCATGGTCTAACAGCGTGCTCAAACTTTGCCCAAACGTTTGGCCACACAGGCGTGCCCCCAAAGGCAGAGGGCGGCGATGATTCGCCGCAGGCGCCTTTGACGATTCGATCTGGTTTGGGCGAGGGAACGGAGTACCACGGCATCCCTGCTCCCCTGGTCACGATAGCTTGCGCCGCCATCCGTAGAGACGAAGATGCGATACACATGAGCTACGTTACTCATGCTTCCCAGTAGCACAATTATGTTTAGGTCGGACATGTCCCCCCACAGGGGGGTTTGGGGCAAAACAAAAAAATGCCCCAACGTATCCAAACAATGCTCAAAAATAGTCGAAAAATCGTTCCCCGACTATTTGTTTATTGTTTTTGACTATTCCTCCTGTAGAGGGACGCGCCCGACAGGAGGCACGGCGACAAGGCAGCGGGAGCTAACCTGATCATTGTGCAACAGAGACGTTGCCGCGCTGCATCGGTGCCATACGAAAATGGTGCGTTTGATGCTCTCCACCGCCACAGCACATGAGGCAACTGTCCCGGCGGGGAGCGCGCAGCGCCACAAGACTTAGGTCGGGCGTGTCCCCCTACGGGCGGATTTTGGACGAAAAATGAAAAGTACCGCAAAAGACCCCAACACATACTCAAAAATGGTCAAACAATCGTTCCCCAGACTACTTTTGACTACTTTTGAAGATTGCCCCTGTAGAGGGACAGGCCCGACTTAACTCAAGACAGGAGCAACGTAATTGTGGAAATCGCGGTGGTTGCTCCTCTTCCACTGGCAGCTACCAATTCGCGCCGGCAACATCTCTCGCACGGGGGACTTCTCAGTTCGTACCGGCACAAGGAGGTCTCACGGCCAGTTAGAAGAACGGCGTGTGAGTTGGTAATCAACTATTATGTACATGTGCGGCGATGGCGGATAACCTGGGAAAATGACAGGGGATGATGCGGCTGTTTCTCGGCATGGTTAGTTCGGGGGTTCCACGCGTGCAAATCCCGAGCATCGGTTCGACATATGCCTCCCATCAATGTCACGACGTGTTCCTAAGCTTGCCCAACCTTCCCTCCGCTCGCCTGGGAGTCAACTTTGGATGAGCTGTTGGGGACACGCGAAGCGTCCAAAATCCACTTCTCCCTCTCTCTCTCTCTCGCAGCGCCTATAAGGTTGGCGAAAACATCCCGAGGTGTCCCGAGGGCGCGGCAAGGAAACACTACCAGACCAGACGTCCGGGGCTCCAGACAAGGTGCCCCTTATCTGTTCACATGAGCTTGCAGAATGCTGGGGGAGATGATATGGGGGCAGTAGAAGCCCTTGCTGACCGTCCCGGCCTCCCAGTCACCATACTCGCCATACATGACCGTCGGGGCGGTGACCAAGCTCTGCCTGCCGTTCGGGTGGGAGTAGTGGTTCAGCGGCGTGACGGCGATCACCACGATCAGGATGAACATGGCCTGGAAGATTGCACCGATGGTGTTGATCGACTTGTTGATATCCCAACCAAGCGACGGTTTGGCGAAGGCGACCACCTTGGAAATACCGAAGCAGATCACGACCGCGAGGATGATGGCGAGCGGGAGGATGCACCGCAGCGTGTACGACAAGACGGGGTCTGTGCCGATGCCGCACTCGAGCGCCAACGCGTCTGGGTTCAGTGAGAAGACCGACAACGTCTTGAACACCGACTTCTGCGCCGATGGCCAGGGAACCGCGAGGTCGTTCATGATGGCGCACAGCCAGAGCACGGTGACAACTAGCCCCGCAAATATGAAGAACGTCAGAGATATCGATCCCTTGGCGTCGCCAACTTCACAAAGTCCGCTCAAACACCACCCTCGAAACCTTCCCCCTCGCATGGTGGTGTGGGGCCGACGGGGAAGGACATGTTTACTTGATAGATCCAGACATTAGCTTGGTAACTCGCTGGGAGACAACATTCATCAGTAAAAACCAGAAATAACAATTAAAACCATCTCAACAAACATGTAGTTCACGGGACGCTCGCTTTCCAAGAGTTTTTGCGGTGCAATCGTCTCCCCGATGGGCTCTGCCAGGTGTCAGAGACCCGGGAGCCTTTTCTACAGTCTGCCCCCGCAGAGGACCTGGAGAGAGGAACACTGGGAGAGAGGAAGGCAGAATGGATACAGTGGAGGCCAGTCCACAAGAAACCTTCCACAAGAAACCTAACCCTGAGACCCCAGGACGTCACTTGATTTTTGGGGTGGGAGCGTCATGCTTTCCATCGCAAAACCATTCAAACCCAAGCAATCCAAGGCACCCTCGAGGCAAGCAGGGGGTTTCTTGGCACTTGGCACACTGTAGAGATGGATAGAGGGGGGGAGGAACTCGATGCATAGGGGGGAAGGGGGTGGGAGCGGGGACCAGGGAGAAAGACAGGGGAAGGAAGCTGGCCCTCTTAATGCCCTCTTCGGCCCTCTTGGCGGCCGCCTACGGCGCTCTGGGGGCCCTCCCGGGAATCGATTGGGGCCCTCTTGGGCCTCTCTTGAGCCGTCTTGGGGCTCCCTTGTGCGCCTCTCGAGCAGTCTTTGGACTCTCTCGGTGCTCGGGTGGCCGTCTTGGCCGCCTTGGGACCCTCTTGGGAGCTCCCTGGGCCCTCAGGGCAGTCTTCGTCCGATCTGGGCCCGAAAGGGATCAATGGAACCCAGAAAAGGAACCAATGCGTTTGCCTCCTCAGGCCGCCTTGGGGGTCCTCTAAAGTGCCTTTTGTACCGTCCTGGTGGCCTCTTAGGCCGTCTATGGGAGGGTTGGGCTGTCTTGGGATGTGGCCTGCTGTGGCCCTCTTGGGCTCTCTTGGGAGCCTTTTGAAGCCCTCTTTGGACCCTCTTAGGGATCATTGTGGCTGTGTTGGGGCCCTCTTGTGCCGTCTTGGGTGGAACCCTCTTGCAAACCTCCTGGCCCGTCGTGGGGAATTCGCAGGGGCCTTCAGAGCCGTATTCGGCCACCATTTCCTCATTTTCCTCCTCCTCCTCGTCCTCCTCTTCTCCTCCTCCTCCTCCTCCTCCTCATCCTCCTCCCCCACCTCCTCCTCCTCCTCTCCTCCTCCTCCCCTCCTCTCCTCCTCTCCTCCTCGTCCGCCTCCTCCTCGTCCTGTCCCCCGCCCCCTGCCCCTCGCCCCTCCCCTCCGCCTCCCCCTTCCTCCCGTCCCCCTCACCTGCCACCCGCCCCCGCCCCCCTCCTCCTCCACCTCCCCTGCCCCCGCCCACCTGCCCCCCTCCTCCTCCCCTTCTCCTCCCCTTTTCTCCCCCTTCTCTCCCCTTCTCTCTCCCCTTCTCCTCCCCCTCCCCGTTCCCCTTCCCCCCTCCCCTCCTGCCCCCGCCCTTTCCTCCCCCTTTTTCCTCCTCCTCCTCCCCTCCTCCTCCTCCTCCTCCTCCTCCTCCTCCTCCTCCATTCCTTGCCCTTCTAACTAACGTTTCCCTGTCGCACCCCGAAACCACTTTTTATGGCGGGCTGGGCGTTTCGCCGGAGAACTCCTCACCACGTATGACCCTGAAGCTTAAACAATGGCAACAGTCTGGCAGATGGAAGGCGGATCGCTTTCAAACTGTGGCTCTCGCCTGAACGCCGCGCACATTCGCTTTAACCATTTGCAAGAGCTTCACGGATTGAGTGCCTGTTGTTTTCAACATGTGGTTCTCGACGTACCGCCGCGCACATATGATTTGCAAGAGCTTCACGGATTGAGGGCGGGTCGGCTTCAAAAGGTGGCTCTCGCTTTCGCGCTGCGCACATTTGTTAGAACAATTTGCAAGAGCTTCACGGATTGAGGGCGGGCCGTTTTCAAAATGCGGTTCTCGCCCCAGCGCCGCGTACACTCGCTTTGGCTAAGACAAACATATTGCACATGTTTCCCGGATTGGGGGCGGTTCCTTTTGAAACATGTGGCTCTCGCCTTAGCACCGCGTACAGCCGTTTTTTATTGTACCAGAGTTTCGCGGATTACAATAGCCAACGTAGCAGGAATGATGTGTTGCAAGGATTTAGGATTAGGAAGGTGCAGCAGTTATGTTAATTCACAGTGTTGAAGTCCCAGAAAGGGCGTTCTGGCACGATTCATGATCGTCAAGACGCAACAATCAGGTTGATTTGTGGCGTTGGAATCCCGAGAACCATGCTTTGGCATGCTTCAGGGTCTCCAATCAGGTGTATTCCAACGAGGCAGTTCCCTCAGTAGAAGTGCACCGTTGTGGGGGCCTATGAAAAGGAGGAACTTGGAGGGGGGGGGGTGCTCCAACATCATTGGTGGCCCTTGGGTTT